AAAAAAAAAAAACAATTTAAATAATTATGAATTTCAAATTAATCCCAAAGACGTTCTTCGTTTCGTTCTATAATAAAAGAAAGATTTTTTGATATTAGTGTTGATTAATATAAAATATTTGATACATCAAAGATTGCTAACTGGCATCGATTACGATGGCTTACAAACATGAATTAATGTGATTTTATTATCGTATACTTGGTTGACAGCATTTCCCTTATACATAAACCCCATTACAAGCCATAATATACACATCGCGTTGATAATATTTAGTTACAACTGACTATACGTTAAATTGAAGAATTATGTAATCGTAGAAATTATTTTCATTTTCATTGCTGTATAAATAAAAATAAAAATAAGATTCTGTAATATACTTTTTGATATAGCACGGAATAACTTAAAAATAAATTATATGTTTTTATATGTTAAAAAATAAGGAAAATTAAAATTATAAGTTAAAAGTTCTACGATATCATAAAATTTTTATTTTGCATACAAGCATGTTTTGTAGACACTACTCGAATGTCGTCTTTCTACTAGATTACTTAAAACATTTGCTAATTGAAAGATTTGAAGTTATGATATATACATATATATACATATACTTATATATATGTATGCGTGTATATATATACATATATATAATGTTAATCTATAATTTATATTTAAGCTTACCTTTATTTAAAATGTGATAAACATACATATACATTGTAAGTATTATACAGAATTATATATATATGTATATTTAAGAATTATATATTTGAGGTGTTCTAGTAAGGTGCTTTTTTGAAATTAAATAAATGCACGTGACACTAAATAACACGACTATAACAATTTCCTCACATTAAGAATAATAGAGAGTTCATAATTTCATTGAGATCTTGATGTAACTTAAAGATTTTTGTACTTTTTCGAACACATTTCTGTTTCGGTAATTCACACACTTTTTATTTTTACGGACACTGTGATTCTTTACAAAAAAGTATCTTACATTCAAAGTCACCCGATTTAACTGTATAATGTGAAGACTGTGGAAATATAGGTGTGATTAATGATATATCGAGATGTTCATTTATTTCTATTTATAATAGAATATCAATAAAATAAAATATTTAAATATTATATCAATAAAATAAAATATAAATAAAATATCAATAGATTTTTATCCTATAAAACTTACCGCTTAATTACCTTTTGGTCGGACGCGATAGCTTTCCTGGAAGAACAACATATTCATAAAAAGCTGTTGCATGAATTCTGGAACTTACCTAGTTTTCCTGCAAGACGTTAGCCGCAATATAAAAGTGATTAATGTACTCAAAATTATTTAATCTGATCCTCTATATTAAAAAATTTTATTTTCAGGTACTTATTCAAACAATTTCGACAATGAACGTTTAAACGATATGAAAGAGGAGATGTCTTTATCCCTATTCTCCCATGTTGAAATATATCCTTTCTCCAAAATATCTCGTGGAATAATAAAACACAACAGATTAATCATTTACGATGGAAATAATACAGCAAACCATTGCACACGATCTCATGTGTTATAAAATAAGACCCTATCTATCTAACATCAATGACATTGTAAGAAAAAAAAGACCACATCCTTCAAATATTAAGAAACAAATTTGGCAACACAGCGGAGATCGACGATGGTTATTAAAAAAATTCCATATGCATAGTGATTCGAACGCATTAAATATTTCATTGACGATTGCGGCAAAGACCAGAGCGTAAAATGTTTACCACCACTTACCATAGAAGTTACAGTCACGCATAAAAGTAATTGTGTTTCTTACTTTACGCAAATTCACTTGGAATATAGAATTTTGCAGTCATTTAAACTACTTCTCGATAAATATAATGGAAGATACGTTTTTTAAATGCTACAATAAAATAAGAATCGACCACAATGTTAGAGACCAAGTACTATATTACCGTCTACAGTCTTCACTTTCCCAAAACCTGTTAATCCATCTATTTCAAACAATATTAAAAATAAGTTAACAATTTTCAGAAAGAAGACTACCACATATAACTTGATAATTCGAGTATTACATTAACGATACATCCCGGTGGCCATTGACGAAGGAACAAGTATTCGATAAATTTCAAGCAAATTATTCGTTCTTGAAACATGTATTCATCATAGAGGAATAGAAAAACCACAATCACCTGAAAAATATCTCACCTGCGATGTAAACAAATATTCACACCTCACAGATTGTGAAGTTTACAAATTTTAAAAGCAAGCAGGGAGTATCTACAATTATAAATTGTTTAAGCAGAAATTTCTGCTTAACAATTTCTTAAGTGCAATACATTTTGAAAATATTCGTTCTGGGTAAATGTATTGCACATGTAAAAGTAGCAGAAACGATATCCTCTATGCCAATGCATATCCACAGCTTAAACCTGCTTAAAATATAAAGAATCACAACAACACAGAAATAAAACACAACGACCAGCGTATTTTTTTGTAGTCAAAACGGATTTGGATTTTATTCAATCACTGTCATGATGTCGTGGTTATACAAGAGTGTTATACAATGCGCAGAATGTTCCTCGAGATCTACATAGTGAGAGGAAATATGTTTACCAAAGAATATATACTTATAAAATTAGCTGTAGAAAGCTTCCATTCGATTTTGTAAAAACCGAAAGATATTAAAAATTGTTCGTTCTTTAGATAAATATTTGGTATTTTTTGGTAAACATATTATTGATGCACAATATGTAAGACAAATTCTGCCAAATTTAGGATATAAAATCATCCAATATTCGTTCGCTGAAGTGTCGAAACGATTGAATTGGAAGGGACCTTCTTCCTAATAACAACTAAAATTTTGTATGCTCTACTACACTTGAATCTCCAAGTTACTAGAATGATGTGACGCGACGAATAAAAAATCAGATCGCAGAACTACAATGAAAACAGTCCCCTGTTGAGCCATGATGTATCTTATTATGTATTAGATACAAGAATAGAGTGCGACCGATACCACAGAAAAATCAACATACATCCACGAACTGTGTAGGATTGTGCATGAAAGTATCTATCATACATGGATAAACTTTAAGTCATAAAATCCGTAACAGCTATGTCGCGTTAGTATTTATGCTTGAAAGATTAATCTGTCCCTGATCGATAAACCACTCCGCGAACGACCACAGCGTTCAACCGGAATGTGGGAAAATTAATTGATCTCTCATGAAAACTAAGAAATAAACTTACAATCTACATTTGATAATTACTGTAATAGCATAAACCTACATACTGAAAAACCTACAGATTATGTAGAACATTATGAACCTAAATCTAACAACTAAACTATATATCGATCACTCGAAAAGATCCATTTAGGAGTGAATAATTAGTAGACTTCCACTGTAAAAAGGAACGATAATCTCGTAAAAGAATTTCGAATGAAACAGTCGTAGGAAGGAAGGGTGATCATCGGCAGCCAATGAGTGTTTCAACGTTGAAGTAGGCATAAAACAACTGTTGATCTTCCAACGACAGATACTTCTCACCCACTGTCCTAAGTTCTGCCACACTACTAGGATGAATTTCAAGTATTGTCATCAGGAGTGGAATAATCCTGCAGACGACATACGAACACCCAGTCTCCTCTCGCTGCATCAATAAGTTATTGTTAAGCGTCAAATTCTGCAGAGGTTCTCTATTAATGTTACCTTGAATATATTTTCCAGCTTTTAGTAAAGGCGAACATCGATCGTTCTGCCGTCGATACGTGACCGATTCATCATAGCTATATATAAAAATCGTTAAGGAAAATCTTCTAAATATTAAATATTCTTTAAAATGCACATTTGCACATTGAGGAGACAAAAGCGATCTGTACTGTATTAGCATATTCTTTAAGAGGATACACACAGCACGTTCGGCATCCCATTCAGATGCAAATCGTACCATACCCATATCAGTGCCCCGCATTTCAGCAAATTTCACCTCTCCAACATCTTGGAATTTATCTCTCAACATTTGCCATGTTGTGTTTGGTGGAAGCTGTAACGATTATCTTTATGTTTAAAATCAGCAGATGTGTGTTAACTTTTACATGCAAGTTAAAAAAAAAAAAAAATACATACGTTTCCTATAAGAATAGTATCTGACATTGGTCGTGAACCATTGGTATTTTGTCTGTTGCCACCTCCTCCTTGGCCTTGATTTCCAGCGAAACCACCGCCTCCAGGAACACGGTCGTTGTCCCCTCTGTTGAATCCACCGTCAAAATCTCTGCCACCCCCGAAGTTAGAACCACCAAAAGCATTGTTTCCACCAAAGCCTATATCATTGTCCATTTTAGATAAGCCTCGCGGCGCAAATGAATTGTTGCTTTGTCCACCAGCTAAAGAGGCTTGTAAATTAGACAAACCTCCAACTCCTCCGCCGAAATTATTTAAATTAGAAGCCAACTCATTTGTTAACGACGAATTCAGCAAAGAACTCGTAGTCAGATTAGCGCTCAAACCTCCAGCAAGACTTGCTTGAAGAGCTGCAGCATTTGTATTTGACAATGCAGATGCTATAGATGTACAAATATATCATTGTCAATTTCTTCTACTTATTTCATTTTATATATATTCATAGTAAATATTTACCTAGCTGTGCTGGCACAACATTGTTTAAACCAGCACCAAAAGCACCGGCAGCCAATACAGGAGCAGAAATGGGATTCACGACAGGTGGATTATTTGCTTGTACATTAGGAATGTTTCTAGCCACATCCATTAGTCTATTACCACCAGCTCCAAGACCCATTCCAATTCCCTTTAAACCTATTTTATAACAAAAATTTATTTTTATTTTTATATGAAATAGTATATCTTTTAGAAAATAGAAATGCAAAAATAAAAAATTACCTTCTGGCAGTTTTGGTGGCATGTCTGGTTCATTTGCTCTATCAAGTCTCACAGTCATGCGTCTGTCATAAAGTTGCTGGTTGTGAAGCATTGATATAGCTTGTACAGACTCTACTGGATGATCATATTCTACCACTCCAAATCCTCGTGATTTTCCATCTTTATCCTTTCCTAACTCAACATGTAGGACTTTACCAGCTAATTTAAATACTTCCAATAATTTCTTCTCATCCACTTTGTAGTCAAGCTAAATATACCAAAATGAAATATTTAATTGACTTTTTACTTACTTAATTTAATTAATTCAGTATTAAAAGATATACTTACATTGGCAACAAATACTCTAGTAACTAAAGGTCCATTAATACCTAAAGATTCTAAAAACTGAGTACTTAGACCATAAGTATTTCCAAATTTGCTATCTCCACCACCACCTCCACCACCGCCGCCGCCACCGCCACCACCGCCACCACCACCACCTCCACCAGTAGGAGCATTCATATTTTGACGTCCACCGCCTTGTGGCCTTGGCGGGTCCCTAAATCTATCATCACGAACTCTTTCGTTATTACGGGCTGTTGCCAACCGACCATATTTATCTCGTTCAACATCAAAATCCTAGAATAAATAAATGTTATGAAATGTTCTTAATATTAATGTTAATGTTAATTACACGATATTGCATCGCAGTTGTAAGGAAGATGAAAAAATAACAATATACTAACTACCTCTTTGACGACCAGCTTTCTCCCTTTAATATCATACCGATGCATTTTTTCTACAGCAATTTTTACCGAATCGGAATCTTCAAATTCAACGATACCACAACCTCTTGGCTTATCATTTTCATCAGTGAAAAGTTCAACGTGAGCGACTTTTCCAACCTCCGTTCTGAACAAATCCTTCAAATCTTGCCAGCGAAAATCATAGGGAATGTTTGATACGTAGATTCGTCGATCCGAGGCTTTCCGACCACGGTCATTTCGTTCTCTGCTACGATCACGACTCGTAGAATTTATACGATTTTGTCGCTCGGCTCTCCTATTACGGTCGCGCTCTCTACTTCGGTCCCTTTCGTCATTATTCTGCACTTGACTCCTAAATATTTAACACGATTACGTAGAAATAATGTGTATAACATACGAGGAATCACGTTTTATTCTAGCTTGTTATGATACCGATAGATTTTATCATTCGTTTTGCAACTTATAGTTTACACGAATTTCGATTGAAATCGAGCAATTAAACGAGAATTTGCTCAGAAAACTCACACTGCTGATATGTTGAAAACGTATTAGCGTCGGTTTACATTAATTGTACACGATTCTGTACGCCGACAGAGGATATATGATAAATTATTATAAATATCGATTTTATACTTACTCCTCTTGCTTGATCATCCCTGATACGTTTTCTACTCAATAAACTAAATTATTTAAGAGGTAAATAGTTTACTTGTTAAAAAGAGTAAAAAATATCAACATGCAAACATACGCGATCACGAAGCGTCTTATAAAATGGCCGTCCGAGGAAATGCTAAACCATTCCGGAAACTACCGTACTCAAAATAAGTTCCTATTTGAAACGATACGGACAAAGGTATCAGAATCATTTCACTATCACAACCCTGTAATTATTGCATTACAGTCGCCCTACGTTGCAGTTGTATTTCTTACATTTGGAAAATGTTACACGCTGCGATTATTGAAAATCGTAACATAACTGATTGGAAATTTTCAAACTCGAAACATCGCGTTCGGAAAAAATTAACACTCGATTTCGCAGCCAATCAAAATTCTTGATTCGACGTTTAAATGAAATAGCTTCTCTTCAAATGTTAGAAGAACGTTCGAATTATTCAACATTTTTCACGTATTACTCTGTTGCTTGAAGCAGCCAGTTCTACTGATGTTACTCGTTGAGAATAAATTTGTCCTTAGCCACTGTCACGTAATAATAAAATGTTGGTATATGTGGAGCCACTCGTCGTGTTCTGCACTGTCGTCCGCTGTATTCCGTTTCCGAATAGCAGAAGACATCGTTTCGCGGGAACCAATCACAAGTGTGATTCGTCTCTGAGTTTTTGGTGTTACTTCTGACGTGCGCAACTACTTTGGGTGGTGGAGGTTCGTGTTTTTATTGTAAAATTTACAAAGAGAATGGCAGCGCAGTGGATACGAAATACAGTAAGTAGCATGTGTCAATCAAGAAATCTTTGAAACAATCAATGTCCAGCCCGTAGTTACGCTCCCTCTCAGACAACAAGGTTAGAATTCTTCATAGATCGGTTATATATCTATCCTCTGAGATCTAATATCTTAGACTGTCTCTTATCCTTGTATCATTTACAATTTTCTTTTCCATTTTTCATATTTTACTCAATTTCTCAATTTCACCTTTCCACATTGATTCAAATATAAGAATCTCTATATGTGTTTTTATTAATAGCTATTAATTTTGTCGATATTTAATTTAACAGGTTCCGAAAATTGGCTGCGTGCGTTTTTACAGCAGTAAAGTTCACAAATGCACACTTATACCAGGAGATGGTATCGGGCCCGAAATTTCTATTGCCGTGCAAAAGATTTTTGATGCTGCCAAGGTAAAGTGGTTTTCACAAATCATTTGATAAGTTAATAACTTTCGTTATGCACGATATTTTACTTTTTTTTTTTTCATTAATATGCATGTCTTATCAGTCAAGTGGAAATGTATCGATAACATACGTTCACTTTGACATTTGTGTCAGACTTTTGCACTGTAGATATTACATTTTGTTTCAATTTTTTTGATTATTTGTGGTTTGAACCTTACAAGGTGACCCAATGTGTCCTAGTACTAACCTTAAGGAGTTTATTTTAATCTTACTCTTATACAGGTTGATCCAATTGTAGGCTAATTCAGTCTGCTCTTATTGTAGCTAAGGTATGTTTTTTTTTACTTGTATATATTTTTTTTTTTTTATAAACACAGATTATAAGCTTTATAGACTTCAAGTAAATGCATGAGATTCTTGATTTTGTTTTCATCTATGTTTCTAGTGAATGTACATAAAATAGTTTTAGTATTAAAAAACAACAATATACTATTTTTTAGCATGAATAAAGAAACTTTAATAGTATCACTCATATATCATGTATTGCATAACACTGTTACTCAACTTAGTATTTATATATATGTCGATATATGTATATATGATACATACATTTTGTTTTTTTGTATATATACATATATATTAACAAGAATGAGTGTATTGAATGTTAGATAAGATTTTAACCAGACATTTCTTATTTCTTGATATGCATTTATGTTTGTAATATTATCTTAAATATCAGGTGCCGATAGAATGGGAATCTGTTGATGTAACACCAGTAAAAGGCCCAGATGGAAAATTTGGCATTCCACAAGCTGCTATTGATTCAGTTAACAGAAATAAAATTGGTTTGAAAGGACCATTGATGACACCCATAGGAAAAGGACATAGATCTTTAAACCTTGCATTAAGAAAGTAAGTCTGTTGTAATCTTTGTGTAATTAAGAATAGCTAAATGCATCTATTTCAAACATCTATGCATATTGTCTCAGTCTTAATATATTTATCTGTTAGAGCTGTTTGAGTTACATAATCATGAATATCAATGTAAACATGTAATTATTTGAATTTGTATAAAGAGCTTTATACAAGGATTTAAAAGTATTCAGAAACTGATGTATTTTTTTATATAAACAATTTTTTTCAGGGAATTTAATTTATATGCTAATGTGCGACCGTGTCGTTCCTTAGAAGGTTATAAGACATTATACGATAATGTTGATGTTGTCACTATTAGAGAAAATACAGAAGGAGAATACTCTGGTATAGAACATGAAATTGTAGAAGGAGTTGTACAGTCAATTAAATTAATTACAGAGGAAGCTTCGAGCCGAGTAGCAGAATTTGCTTTTCAGTATGCTCAAGATAATAATAGGAAAAAGGTTCATAAGTTACTAATTCAAGCATAAAATTAAGAAATATTTTAAATGATTATTAATTTGAATGATAATTAAGAAATATTTAAATGATTGTTAATGATTTTTAATAGGTGACTGCTGTACACAAAGCAAATATAATGAGAATGTCAGACGGTTTGTTCTTAAGATGTTGTAGGGAGGCAGCACAAAAATTTCCTTCTATTAAATTTGAAGAAAGATATTTGGACACTGTGTGTCTAAACATGGTTCAAGATCCCAGTCAATATGACGTACTTGTAATGCCTAACTTATATGGCGATATTTTATCTGATATGTGTGCTGGACTTGTAGGAGGACTTGGTCTCACACCAAGTGGAAATATTGGCTTGAATGGTGCATTGTTTGAATCTGTATGTATGCAAAATTATTTTATGTTTCTTTTCAAATGCAATAGCGATTAATAGTAATAATTTTATTTCAAAATAGGTGCATGGAACTGCTCCAGATATAGCAGGTCAAGATAAGGCAAATCCAACAGCATTATTACTCTCTGCTGTAATGATGCTTAAATATATGGGATTAAATGAACAAGCAAGAATCATTGAAAATTCTGCTTATGAAACTATTAAAGAAGGTAAACATTTAACCGGAGATCTTGGTGGATCTGCAAAGTGCAGTGAATACACTAATGAAATTTGCAAGAAAGTTTCAGCATTAGCGAAATAGATGATATAAAATTTATTGGGTATAAACTGCCAAATACTCGTAGAAACAATACATGTGAGGTAAAACGTTGTTTTCAAACGTTTCTGTAATTATTATTTCCAAAATCTTTTTCAATGTGCTCTTTCAGAATGTATCTGCCGTTTAGTCGAATGAATTGCAAAGATTTTTAGTGTAAGCAAAAAGGATATCTTTTTCATTTATTCACATTCATTTAGATAATTTTTGTTGAGTACTTGAATTAGTTTATTGTGAAACTTGATGTTACTCAACTTCGTGGATTTGTTAATGTGTAATAGCATTTAATACGATTTTATCGCGACGTGGACACGCGCAGTCTAATCGCGCGCATTGACTGAATACACGTATATGTATGATTGTCATACTCCTTTATCGTAAAAGAGATTCTAATAGAATCTGTAAAAATTAGATGTGTAAATTAATCTAGGAATGCTGTATAATACTTTTAAATGAAGTTGTTGATGATGTGTGCCTCGAGGAAGAGTTTCAAAAAACAACATTGCGCAGTATTACACATAAATAAAATATTATGAATTCTACGTGTTGTATTTATTATTTCACCTGAAAATTATTTGTAAGTATCGTTACGAATATTAAAATATAATAGTATCACCAAGAATAATTTTTATTAAATTATAATTATTGATTTCCAGTAATAAAATTGGAAAATACGAAAAGAAAATTTAAATTCTTTTGCAACCATATATATAAATATAAATTTATAAATATTAATATTCATATGAATAAAATAAGACAAGGTTTTTTTTTTAATTATATTAATTTCCACTTGTGATACTTTTTTTTTTATAAAGAAATAGTTATTGTTAAAATATAATTCTTGCAGCATAAACGCTACAGAATTTTATCTTTGTGATGTTGTGTTATAGCGCTCGTTCTCAACTACTTTATAACTTCCCCTTTCCTCTTCCCCTTTCCACCGTGTAGTACAGTATGCTTCTAAGGAAAACTCTCAAGTATGAGAAAAGTTGTCGGCTATATTTCACAGGCGGAAGAAAGTAAGGGGTGGAGGAAGATCCGGTGTCATCCTCGCTGCTCGTTAATACTTTCTGTGATTTATCGGAATTCCCCGAGTGACTAATGACTGACCTCTTGTAAATTTTTGATATTAAATTTTCTGTTCGGCTATGATATATAGAGGGACGAAATTTTCGATTCGTAATATCGATCGAATTATTGTTTGAAATATTTTTTATTTGTGATATTTTCAATTTCCTATTCGAACGACCGAAATATCGACTTCTAAACGATTATTTAATTAATTCCGTGTTTTAGACGGAGGATTAATGAGTGTGTCGACGATCTAAGAAGCATTGACGGCCGATCTAGTCGCAAGATGTATCATACAGTTGCGGCGAAGGGCTGGTTACACAAAAGGTGGAACACTCGAGGGCGTAGTGCGGAAAGCAAGACATGCATATTCAGCATGGAGGCGCAGACGTAGTCATAGGAATAATAAAAATTCAAGGGTTGAAATTATTTAGATTTATGCCCGCTCTCTTGTTCCGGTGCCGGCAGTGACGAGAAGCGATTCGATTCCGGGGAACAAATTTCATGCATTATTCAGGACTCGCCGCAATGCACCCCAGTCAATGGAACCGATCCTTTGGAAAAAGTCGTTTTTAATCTCTCGTCGCGTTCCAATAATGCACATGCACACCCGCTCACCTCTTCCCCTCACCTATTTTCATCCACCCGCGCGCTTCCCGCGCCGCTTTCACCCGCTTTACGAGTGAAAACCGTGTTTTCTGCCTTTAAAGCGGACACCAGTTCGAACGCGAACAATAAATCGAGGATCTATCGGTATCTATCCCCGTGAATACGTGATGCTCTCAGCTTGGAGCTGCGCGATTTATTTTCCGCCTTGGTGTTCATAATCGCTGGGCCTGATCATTCTAAAGAACCGTCAAAACCGGAATGTAAAAAGCTGCTGACGGAGCAACTACAAATTTCTCTGGTTAATATTCTCTCTCTCTCTCTCTCTCTCTCTCTCTTTTTTCGGTCTGTTTTACTATCTTGCTATGTTAATTTCCTCGCGTAAGTGTCGCGTCAGCTCTTTCTTTGTTGCGGCTCATCCGTTGTTTTTGAAGCGATCATTTTTATTAGCTGTTAGTGAAGAGAGTTTGACCAAAGATGCACGATGTATTTGTCTCATTGGGAGAAGACATTGTGGAAATTTGGCTACGATCTTGGAATAGTGCAAGTATATACATAGTATGTAATTTACTGTTAAAGTGACAGTATATTTTATCACGTTTCAGATTATTTCTATCAAAATCACGGTCTCTTTTTTCACTATTTTTCATAAAACTCACGCAAAGCTATTAAAAGTTATTGATCTCATAGAATAAATGGACTTCAACTTCCTCATAATTGGATGCTTCAAAACGGATCCATGCCAACGAAAAGTATTTAATAGATAGCGAAATAAACCCGTGGGCAGTATAAATATATTTTAAACTCGATTCGTATTCAATTTTCAGCTATTATTGCGAGATAATAAGCACGTCTC